GACATTAAAAAGAACTTTTCTTTCTCCCACGTAATTAATTGCCTCTATGTCTCCATTCCACCATATAACCAGTGTAACAAAATAGCCCAGAGGACTGCATTATGGGGATAGTGGGGCTAATTTTTTGGTAATACTGGGCCTCCTTGGTTGAAGCAGAGCTGAAGAGAAGTCCTGCAGTTCTGAAAAACAAACTTATTGATTTGTATTTGAGATAAGCTTTTAAGAGGAACACACAAAAATCTGGGAAACCTTCATCTTGCCCTGAAGTTTTTGCACCCATGAAGTCTCTCTTCGTGGCTTCAAAACAAAGTGTGTGGTCATGGGCTGGCTCTTGGGCACTCTCAAGGCCAAGAGATGCAGTAAAGGAGAAAATAGTAGGGCAAACACTAATAGTTCTATCCCAAAGACAGAATCTGAATTTGGTGAGCAGCTGAGGTTTGCAAGTTAGGCATGCAGCAGGCAGATGTAATTTAAGCTCACTGCCCTCAATCAGAGCCTTACCACCACCTCATTTCTGTGCTCTGCAAAGTCCAATCGCCCTAGAGGAAGGCCTGCCGAGCAGTGTCAGAGCCCATTGGAAGGGGTACACGCGCTGCAGTCCTCGTAATTAGTTTCAGAGCTTCCATTACTCAGAGGAGCTCTGCAATCCCAGAACAGGGGCCCTGCGTGTGTGCACAGCATGGTTATGGGAATGCGGCATCCACTGCGCTGCACCAAGCTGTTGGCTCACCAAGGCTGGTGCCCTGAGTTTGTTCCAGAAGCCTGTGCTTGTTGCAGCTTCAATGGGGTGTGATGGGGCCAAGGCATCCAGGAAGAGGATGCCCGAGGTCACTCTCCAAGATGAAGGGTTTAGCTTTGTTTGCAGCTTACCCTACCAGACTTAACATATGTAGCTGTAACCTAGAGGCTGCAAACCAGAGGTGGCTCTGGGTGATGTTGCTGGAGGTGAAACACAGGTTAGCTGGAGTTGAAAAGTTATTGGAAACAATCCAAATTCAGGCATCCTTTACGTTTAGGGTATGATTGGGTCATGCTCACTGTGCAGGACGTGGCCACTCACAGTTACACAGCCCTCCAGACAATTTGGGCACACAACGTGGAACTGAATCAAGTTGTTCAGTAGCTTGACTTCACGCTGCTGCTCTTGTCAACTCTAAAAGTAAGTACTGATAAATAATAAATAGTGGAGGATAGTGTTGCCCTGCTGTCATGAATTGCACAGAGCTTTTATCGTCTCAATGCAGACAATGTAGTGGGGCTATTACTTGGGTAAAAGCTCTGGGATTTGGCACGACTGAAGGAAAGAACAAAAGATGACAGAAAAGGCAAGTGGAGTTTAGGGTTTTTTGTTAATTAACTTCCTCCTTGGCCCTTACTTTCACTGTTGCCAGCAATCCAACTCACGGCTTTGTCCGCAAAGCCCAGCAGTCACAGTGCCTGATCCTGGGGGCAGTTTGTGTTAGATGGCAGATAAACACAAAGCTGCAGGTAAGCCAGCGGTAATGAGTTTGCAACCACTCCCTGAGCAGCTGGGCAAGGGGAACAGCATCCTGCCGAGCCTGGGAGCCTGGCCGGGTGGGATTTATCCCCTTGCCACAGAGGCAGAGCACAAAATGGGGCTCGTTGAAGAGCTGGGCTATGGGGAGCAAAGGGCCCAGCAGGGCAGGAGGGTGCTGGGTGGGGTTGGGGTGCATGGGCTGGGGGCTTTTTCTGCCCCTGTATCGACGAGGAGTGCTGGCAGGGTGTGACAGGGCAGGACGTGCCCTGAGGGGGAGGCATTTTTAATTTTTATTCAGAGGGGAACAACACGGAGCCCGAAACGTGTGGTGGGGATGAAGGGAACGAGCCGGGCTCCAGCGGGCTGAGGGGAAGCGGGCGGCTGGCGGAGCGCTTCGGGAGGGCGCGGGGAATCGCCTGGCCGCTTTCAAAGCCTGTAACGGCTCTAACGGCTGGAACAGCTGTAACGGATCTAACGGCTCTAACGGCCCTAACGGTTCCAACGGCCGCAGCAGCAGGCCAGGCCCCGCCGTCCCGCAGCCTCTGCTGCCCCCTGTCGGCCCGCGCCGCCTCAGCGCCCATCGATCGGGCCGTATATTACCGCGGCCTGCTGGCTCCCGGGGCCAAACCTCGGGGTTTTAAAACAGGTTCACCAAATTGTCAATTAAGTGCAAATCAATCCTCAGCCATTTATCACCGTGTTAATCCGTCCGCGCGGTCCGGGGCGAAAAATCGATCGGCTCCTGTCACCGGGGACCAATCGAGGAGAGCTCGAAGACCAACATCTGCTGCATCAGGGCAACAGCTGAAATTTATAATCTCAGAGAAAAATTGCTGCTTGCCAAGAGGCACATTAGGAAGTTGGGGAAGTTGAGGGCGTGCGGGGGGGAAGGGGCTGCCACAAAGCGCCTGTGCAGGCAGGGTCGCAGGGGGCTCCGGCGGCTGTGGCTGAGGAGCTGCTGGTTTGTGGCGGGGAGAAATAAAGGCTGCTGCTAACTCGGAGAGTGATGAGGGGATACAGGCAGCTCTGAGGCGTCCAGGGGATGCTTCGTGTCCAACATTTGGTTCTGACCTGGGGAAGAGGCAATGGGGAGGCCTCCAGCTCTGCCACTGCACGCTGGTGGGCATCTGCTCCCCCTGAGCCAATCTGTGGCAGTGATATCCCCTGCTTTCTAAAACATTTGTAGTGACTGAGGTGCCTTTCACATAGAATATCTTAGGTACTGTTTCTCGAACTGGAATAAACACCAGCAGGGTTGTTCAGCAACAGTTTATTGTGCTCGAAAGCAGAGGATGGAGCAGCAGCACCCACAGGAGTCTGCAGCCACCCGCCCCTCTGCCTGCTGCACCCACGGGCAGTCAGTTTTACTGCAGCAGCACCCAGAGGCACAAAGGCAGGGCTGCAGACCTGTGACCACGTACTGCTGCAGAAGTTTTTTCTTTCTGCTGTATCCCTTTGCCACGTCTTGCCTGAAAAGCCTGTGCAACAACCTGTGGGAGGAAAATTGGGTAAATGCTGAAAGAAGGAAACTGCTTGCAAATGTGCTAGCACACAAGCAGCAGAAGGGCCAGGCTGAGTTCAGATTTGTAAGTGCTTGAGACCGGGATACTGAATACAAGAAGAAATTTAACCCCTTTTATATGCTGACTTCTCCCCAGTTCAAAGTGCTGCACTTGAGCTTACGTGTCTTTCTTAAGTAGGCTCATTTCTCATGGATCACAGCACTCCTGAAGCTTGTGTCCGCTCAGATTCTTGCATGAAGCTTCAGACCTACCCCTTGAGGAAACTGAAGCTCAAGAATTGTCCTAGGAGAAAGGAGACATGGTAATGACAAGGCCTTGCTGATATCTGGGAGACCCGACCATGCCTGCAGCAGCCAGCATGCCCTTGCAGTGTGCCAGTTTGGTGTACTGCAGAAGCCTGTGACCATCACATTTAATGGGAACATCTCAAGGGCTCTCCAGAGCCAGCTGCTGTTAACACAGAGCAGTGTTCTGAGCGTAATTATGGTTATTTTTTAAAATGCCTACAAAACAAACGCAGTTTTTATGTCAGGGGAAATAAAGCGTCTCAGTTATTGTTTCATGGAGCTACCAGAATTGCTAGAAAGGATGTCACACTGCCTTCCCCAGAGGCTTGCTAAAGGACAACATAGTCAAAGTCTCTTTCTGGAAGAGTTTACAAAGAGAAATGACTGCATTGGAGAGCTTATTTCTTGAGCTTCCTTTTACTTCTTACTGAATGCAGAGCTTGAAATCATAAGCACAGGTTAAGAGCTGGGAAATTCATTTTTTATTTTTTTTTTAATCAGCATTTTTTCACAGCTGTAATCACGCTGTGTTTCAATATGAACTGAACTGAAAAGTGTCTTTTCATTGTGTGTCCTAGTCTGGTCCTTACCAGAATCACAATTGGTTAAACGCAGTTTTCTTGCAGGAAAGAAATCTGTGTCCAATCGTGCTTTGTTATTTTGGTGATGCCAGCAATCTGGCTATACATGAACAGAGGAGCTGAACGTATTATTGAACTGTTTAGAAACTGCCATATTTCAAGTAAAGAAAAAGGTACTTGCTACCTTCTCCTGACATTCAGATGCTCTTTATCCATGATACTGTATAGTTATTGGGATTAATGGAATGAAGGGAGAATCATGTGTGGATCTCTTTCCCTCCAGCAACTTTCATTAGAATGAAAAAAATAGAAAAAAGAAATCAACTCCTTTTAGAGGGGGCTGAGGGGTGTTATATTTTTATTATAAAATCTGGTAAAATATCACTCAGAATCAGTTTGGTTGGTCTTGTTTCCCAGATTAAAGAATTAAGGATTGACTGAACTCTTCTCAAGTAGTTAAGAAATGAACCATCTGTATAAGAATCTAGGACAGATTACACTTAACCTTATTCTGAAGCAAGAGATTAAGATGAGAACAGCTACTGTAATTAAGATGCTGCAGATGCTGTTCACTAAATATGCAGCATAGGAGATCCTAGACTGCTGTACTGCAAGAAAGTGAAAAATAACACAGGATCTTTTCTAAAAGAGCCTCGATATTTTGTCTGTTAAATCCATCTCACTCCGGTAACTTTTAACCAAACCTGTTACATTTGTCAGGCAGTGCTGTGCTAGTGATGCACTGCTGGGTTCACTTTCCATGGGCTGTGGTGATGTTCACCACTGCAGACTAAAGCAGGTTCAGGTGCCTGCCAGAGGGTTGCTCTCTTGCTAAACCACTGCAAAAGCTTCTGGAAAGGACTTTAGTCTTTTTGTGAGGTGTCAAAGGAAATAGGCAAGCTATGCCAGCCCAGCTTGGCAGCTGCTTCTGGGATTCCCAGCTAGAACAGATCATTCATCATAATATTAACCAACATTTGTTATTAATAATAAGAGCTATGATTTAGGAGTAAGAAACCCTCAATATCAAGATCGGAAGAAACTTTTGCTTCTTTTTTTTTTTTTTTTTTAATTTAATTTATTTATTTGTTTTAGTTTTCCGTTTTTAAAGGTTACTGCAGTAAAAGGATTGTCCTGAAACCTTTCTTGAAGGTAAAGTAACTCATCAAGTGACAGTATGAAATATTGAATGGTGGGTGTAGAATCTGTCTGTCTTATATTTTGCTGGCCACAAGACTCTTTGCTGATGCCTGCAGAAGTCCGGGCTCCTCCTAACTCCAGAGAGCTGAAGTGCCTCAGACTGGGAGTACGTGAATATTGCTGACTTGGGGATTTTTCACGGATGCACATGAAAGTCATTTTCTATGTGACCTTTGTATCTGGCAGCTCAGGAAAGATTTTTGGCTACTATGACTCTTGGGTATAAGGTAAAATACCAGAGCATCAATCTAACTGGCCTTGAGAAAACTGCAGATAGTAATCCGGCTCCCATTGGGAAGCCCAGACCTGGAAGTGAGCAGAGTATTTCCAAGCACTCATCTGTAAATCTTGTCATGATGCATCAGTCTCATACTTAATGACGTGTTCTTCATACAGCAAGTTTCCATATTGTACTGGTAAAATAGAACTAAATCCCTAGCAGCAGCTTGGGATCCCAAATGAGGCAGGAATTAGACATAAAACAAAACCAAGAATTTTTTAAACTTGTTTTACCAGCATTGATATAGAGATCTTTAGTGATGACATTTTTCTTTCACTTCCCATGCGGGAGGTTTTCTGAAAACAGAGAAAAGGCACTGAGGTGTTCCCTGAAGGAACTGAAGTTATTTATCATCATGTGAGTGAAATTCAAAGACATCCACTGCACACTTGTGAAATCAGCCTGGGAGAATGACCACGGCCTCGTGTAGAGGTGAAGTAGTCTCGGATGCTCACATTTATCAAGTGAAGTTATCTGGTTAAGCATCACTGCTGCTAGCAGGAGAGCCTTTCCTCATTAATAGACTTGGCCTTCTTGAATATTGTCAGGGAGAGAATATTTTCCTAATCCTTTCCCTGTTTGACACCAATCATGCTTGTTAGGCTAAACTAGTGTCCTGCAAGAGAGACGGTCTGGCACCTCATCTGCTTTAAGAAAATCCTGCTGTGATGTGCCTGTGTCTGTGCAGTGCTTTTCATGCATTGCCACCACTTCTGGAAAAGCTCATTGCTGGTGGGTGTTTCCTGGGTGGGGTGGAGCAGCTGCTGTGCCCCCACACAGCACCAGGGAGTGATTCTCCTTTATGCCAGACACAGCTCTGGCAGTCCTGGGTGTCCTTCGTGGGTGTTTGCCCAGCCAGGTTTTGGCCTGTGCTGTACCAGGCAGACTGTGTTCTTCTGCTTTGTTATTCCAAAAGCTTCACCTGAAACGGGGGGGAACATCTTCAGAATATTATTCGTGCTTAATAGAAAGCAACACATTTGAAGCTGCTCCAGAAATGAGTTGTGCATTATTTAAAAAGGGAAGAGTATTACTACCTTCCTTGAATCTCACTCTTCTCGCCTATCAGATTTTTTTTTTTTTTTCCCCGGGATGGCAGGGAGTTGCTTAAAATGAAAAATTGATCATAGTGAACAGCTGAAAACTGGTTTGCATAAGTCACAGTTATTATTCAGATATTACAATGCAAGGCAGTGAGGCGCATGAATACTCGCACAGAAGCATTTAAATATAAAAGCTTAGTACTTCCAACCCCAAACAATCCCTGCAGCCTGCCAACAAACGAGAATCTTACTGGAATACACATAAATCATCTTGTTTCTGACAAATCCTGAAGAAGCAGGGGGAGGGGGGAACAGAATCCCTTGCTAATTCTCCCAAGCTGCTGTTTATTGAAATTAGGCAGCAAGGATAAACTATAGCTGGATCAATAATTATCTGTCTAATATAATCAAGTGCCTCCTATGAGAGCCTGCCGTTAAGCACGAGTTCCTGCCAAAGCCTTGGACGATGTTTCATGCAGAGAGCTATCTGGCGACTCGGATGACGGGAATGCAAACCGAGATGTGTCCCGCTGGATGGCTGCACTTCTGGAGGGGCAGCTCCCTCCAGCCACTGACAGCTTCCTTCGTGCTGCTGTTTCTGTAGCTGTTTCTCCTTGTTTGCAGGATGGCAGCACGGTGCTGGGTGCAGGACAAACAGCAGAGGAGGCAGACTGAGCCTGGTGAACCCAAAGGCTGTGGATCACCTTGATTCTGCAGCAGGCCTGCAGCTGGATCAGGCATGAGTGGGATTCCTTCACATAACACAACAAGCTGGTTTTTAGGTTGGTTTTATTTGTTTTGTGCTGTAACCTTTCTGTTCTGTCCATTCCTGCTCAAAGTCCATGATTCTCCTGCCACCAATTCGGATGCTTGTTCAAAAGTGCAGATTTGGGGGTCTGCCTGTGTACCCAAGAGTGGCTGAGCTCTTTGACAGAGCAACATTATCCGCAGAGAGAAGGATAGAAACAGTAGTGCAGCTGTAAATCAAGAAGCACAGCAAAATTAAGCAGCACTTCCATCAAAACAAGTGAACTGTGAAACAGAAATATGCAAGAAATGTTTCCAGAAGTGAGGAAATGAAAGGCAGAATCCATTTTACCACATTCTGCCCACCAGGCCCCATCACTTAAATCTGTATTTACCATGCAGGTAACGGAGCTGCTAGGGCTCCAGGAAGCCTGCAATTAGGCAGCTGTGCAGACAGAGCTAATTGAAATTCTCAGTGATGAGGATGAATGCAGAAAAGTATTCTGATAGTTTTTACCTTCTCCAAAATGCTTTTAACATTCATCAAGAAGTTCCTCGCATTCTTCTGATTTTCAGGCTTCCTACTTGAAGCTTCACATCTGAGAGTTATTTTGACGGACAACCCAGTTAAACCGTGAATTAGTCATTTACAGGCAACTTTCTTCTGTTTCCACAGTTCAGCTGCAGAATATTAAAGGCTTGTAGGTGTTACGGGTAGTCATATATTGCAGCAATAATGTGTCCTACTGCTATGAACATCATTGCAGAATTCATCAATTCCATGAAAAATAGTTCCACGTGCACGAGTGTGTAAGTTCACTGCAGTGCTCGTGCCTGGACTGTGCCAATGCTGCCGACAGCAAGAGACATAGATCACTCCGTGATGCTGCTGAATGCCTCCCTACATACATATGAAAATGCCTCTTTGAAATTAAATTCACAATTTTGGGCCCTCCCCAGCACCCCATAGGTACATCTGTTTTTGGAGCCACTTAATGTATATTCTGGTAGGCACAGCTTTATATTTAATATCTTCATTTCAAGATAAAATCCTTCCCTCTTGCCTGTTCTCAGATTGAGTGAGTGTGGTTGCTGGTACAGCTGTGAAATGACTGCAAGTTTGGGGGTAGTGTAAGGATTCTTATTCCTGTTGGAAAGTGATGCTTCTCACAAATGAAAAATAAGTAAGCAACGAACACAAAACCAAAATAAGCACGAGGAACTGTACACTCATTCACTGCTCTGGTTGGTGTCCTCTGCAGGTGTAGCCACTCGTTAGATGCAGTCAGATGGAGGACCACATAATTAACAGCTTTTCTGACCCTCTAATCTCACAGCCTAGGAACGATCTCTCCTGCTGAAGGTGGCTTCTAACACAGAAGTCCCTTCTCTAAAGAGCTTGCAATCAGCAGTTAGGCTTTACTAAATGCAATAAGCTAATGTATCTCTATAAAACATCCCACTTGGTATTTGTGTTTCAGATAGCAACACAAATTAGAGCAGGCACAACAACATTCAGATGCAAAGCCATTTCCTCACTAGCTAGCAAAATTGTAATAAATTCGGTACAAAGGAGGTTATTAGAGCTGCTTGCTAAACTGTTCTGCAGAGGAAGGTCTGGGCAGAGACCTGCAGCTCTCATTACAGCCCACACCTGCCTGAATGTCTCCAGGTGAGCTCTGCTCACACCAGCCTTCGAGACCAGCAGGAGATGGTGTTTCTGCTGCTAGCAGGTAGTGGGGGCTCATGTGGCCTTTTCTCTCCATTCTGAGCAGATATTGAATAAGTTATTGAATATTATTTTCTATACTGATGAGGCTGGTTCTGCTGGAAGATAAAACCTTAGAAGGATTTCAGGAATTATCTTTATTTTAAAGGAGTGTGAATTAGTACACTGGGTAACTGTAAGTTGTGTTAGTTTAAAGGAATATCCTAAAGAAACTCTGAGCTATAGGGATCTGAGTAAATTAAGCTTCAGTTTGTTCCAAAGGAAGAATTTCTGCTAAATAAAACCTTGTATTCAGGAGGAAAAAAAAAAAAAGCTCCTTAAAGTCTGTCAAGAAAAGGAGTGTTTAATACCTGAGCAAATAAAATCAGCTACGGGTGCGTGAAATCTGGCTCCTCTGAAATTGCCTACCAAATGAGTGTGGGAAACATTTAAAATTCTAATGTTTTGGAGCTACTTTCTGATCTAATTCTCATTTAGGGGAATAAGTTGAGCTGCTCTGAGTTTAGCCAAGTGGAATTGAGATGGCTGTTTGTTGCCCCCTCTCCTGCGAGGGTATCAGGTGAAATGCGACGGGCTGCTGCTGTGATGCTGAGCTGCGAGGGGCAGGACAGCAGCTGTGGCCTGAAGGAATTCATCCGGGGGGTGTGCGTGTCATTGGCACTTTTGCAAGCTTTTCTTTATCATTAAGTTTTAGTCAAGCATCTTTTTATTGCTAGAGCTTCTATTGATTCTAGACAGGTATCTGCTGATTAAAAAAGAAACGATAATGATGTTTATTCTAGGGGAGAAAAGTAAGTCTGGATGTCTCCAATGAAGCAGTTTGGCTGTATAGATACCATGGAAGCAGCTTCAAAACTATTTGTAATACTTTGATCCGGTGATTTGTGGTCGTGCTGTTCTGAGGACTCACGCTCAAGGTGCTTTATGCAGCCAGAGGTCAGCTCTGCCTGGCTTCTAAGAACATAAGCCAGCGGCAGTAATGTGTAAGCTGGGAAAGATTTGACCTCTGGACTGTTTATTGATAGGCAGAGGGCATCTTGGCTGTACCTCAGAGCAGGAACATGCAAATAAGATGGGTTAAATTTAAGCCTGATGGTCTCACAGTGCTGGACCTCTGCAAAACCTCTGCAAACAGGAGTCCGTTAGCAATAAAATAAGTGAGCTCAGTAGGAATATGTGCAAAGTCAAACATGTACACGGGTATTTGCAGGGTTGGAGCCCTCCCCAAACGTTCTGCTCGGTGAAGGCATGAATAAAAGATCTCCATTTGGCTCGGTGGTCTCTCCAGGCTAGGTTCATTTCTACTTACTGATTATTACTCACCAAATGTAAAGTCTATGGAAATCTAACTAATTTGCTGTTGTGTTCAGGTAGCTGCGCCCTGCTGAGCTATTGATTGTCTGCACTCGAGGTATGCATGTTATTGTAGGAGGCTCCTGAGCTCTTAGCCTGCCATTGACTCCATATTTCTCTGGAGCAAAGGAATTTCCAGGCAGGGGGAGGCTGTAGCTAACTCTGTAAATTTTCGTCTGTGCACTTTACACAGAAACATTTAGAAAATGAGAGTGAGCGTGGAAAACTGACATGCAGCAGGCGATTGCAGGGCTCTGCGGGATCTTGTCTGGAGATTCCCATACGCTCGTATGCAATTATGTGCTTGGCTTTTCTATTTTTGCTCGGCGGAGCACTTCCTCTTGCAGGGGATGTAACATCTCCAGCAGAATAAGTGACAAAGGGTGGGGTGAGGGCTTTATAACCATAAGTAGGGATCAGCTCGTGTTTGTCAGCATGGCTAATCCCTCGCCTGTTTCATCACAGCTTCTCCCAGCTGAGCAACAAAGCCTGCAAGGAACCAACTTTAAAAAAAAAAAAAAAAAAAAAAAGCCTGAAACTAAAGGAAATCAAAAGCAAATTATTTTCCAGATTATAGCCCTCCAGAGCTGCTGAGATATTGCCCATTTTTCACAGCAGACAAAAACATTTTCCTGGGGATCAATTTAGCTTCCAGAAGTCGGCTCCTTTCAACCCATAATCCATCATATTTCCCCATTTGCAATCTCTCTGTGTCTGAGTGTTTTAAGTTTCCTATGAATTATTTTATAAAGAGTATAAAGAGGCCTTTCTTCCTGCTGAAATGAGGGAGTTGCCTTTCTGCCCTATCAGGTCAGATACCATTAGACTGTTGTACAAGGGGGCCCTGCCATCCATACCTCCATATTGGCAACCACCTTAGTAGGCTCATCTGTCAAAGAGATCTAGTAATCAATCACTGCGGTGATCAATATGCAGCTTATGCATTCATCATTCCTTTGAGGAGACTATTAGGATGAAGTTGTCAGTGAAAGAGGAACAAAGGGAGAAATATACTGAGATGGCTGAGGGGTGTGAATGTGTGCCGGGGCAAGAAGAGGAGCTTAAAGAGAGGAAATACAGCCCCAGAGAAACAGGGAAGGGATTTGGCACCTGGGAGGAAGGAGAAGTTTGTGACAGATTTATTCGGGTGCCCAGGAACACAGTGCAGAGGGTGACTCATCTTTCAGGAGGCAGAGCAGTGTAAGAAAAAATCCCGATCCCTTGATTGGTGTGTCAGCATGATTTGTGGGCTGCTCTGCCAAGGTAAAACGGGTACCGCGAGCAGCTGGGCACGAGCGAGCCGAGGAGGAACACGGTGCAGGAAAGCTTACGAATGAGTCCATGAGAAGCACGCCGAGGCAGGCAGAGGGCTATTTATTTATTGCCCTCAACTCGTTCCTTTATTCCGTTTAATCTGAGCCCGGGAATTATTGCAAACATTGGTGATCACTTCTGCCTTGACAAACACACCGGGGGGCCCTCCAGGTCTCGGCAGCACAGGGACCCGGAGGCATTTCTGATGAGCCCAGGGCAGCTGGCTGCCAGCACACAGCCACGTTTCCCTTCTGCCCTGCTAGGTGATGCTCTGTACCCTACAAGCAGCGTGTCCCCGGGGGCACGGGGTGTTCTGTACCCTGCAGGGGGACAGCCCCATGGGCTGGGGGTGTGGGGTTGATGCCTCCAGGCTGTGCTCCCTGGGGAATGGAGCCCAGCAAGGGATGCAGGGAGAAGGGTGTCCTTCACCTGCTGGGGAAAGGATGGATGCTGGGGCTGTTGGCAGGCAGCTGCAGCTACTGCGATCCCTCTGGTGTTGCCAGGCCCTCGTGGATGGAGGTTATGGCAATGGGACAGATGGGCTCGATTCCTGTGGTGACAGGAGCAGGGTGGCACCCAGCTCTGATCCCAGGTCCGGTAGACTCAGGGAAAAGGGTTAATTCAGCTGGGACCCGGGAAAATCGCAGGCTCGCTTATGATTATTCCCTTATCCCGGTGGCAGAGCCATTATTTAGTCAGTGTAATAATTTAGATTAATTGGATGTAATGCACAACAAATTTATGAGACGGGGAGCTGGGCTCAGCTTTTGCATGAAACTCATCATCGTGATGCCCTGCCCGAGGGCAGTGGGCTCAGACCTGCCCCTCAGAGAGATGCGGTGCCAGCCCACAGTGCCAGCATGATTTCACCCACTCGTTTTTGTACCTTGCAATGTTCCTCTCCCTGAATCAGCATCCTGGTCACTGCAGAGAGATCCCAGGGGGAAAACAGGGCAGGGATGCAGCCTTGCCACACATTTGGATGTGGCTGAAAGCCCTCAGGCTGTGGTGGCCTTACCACTGTTACCAGTTATGGGTTCATCTCTCCAGCTCGTGAGTGCCCCCAATAAGAACAATGATAAAATAGGAAGGTGAGAGCAGGTTCCCTTTGTCTTCCAAACACCTCCCCAACGCCCCGGGCTAAGGCAGGGGTCTGCGAAGCCCAGCACAGCCAGATCCCTGCAAACTGGTGGGACTGGGAGGCTCTGACCCCAGGACATGGAAACAAAGAGAAAAGGGAAAAGCCGGCAGTGTGCTCTGCAGTGCTAATTAGCCTGACCCCAGTGACTGTGTCTTAAAGCACCACCGATGACCTCTGACCGCCAGGTTCCTCCGCTGTGATCCAATAAAAGCTGTAGGAATGAAGTTTGCTTTGCATGTGGCCCCAGGGTATTTGTCTCTTAACTAATTTGTAAGAAACCAGGGAAAACACAGAATCCTTCCATTAACCTTCGTATCCTTACTTTACAAGACCCACTTTCCTCCTCGGGTGTAATGACCATTCATAAAAGCATCGCTCACCTCTAACCTCGCGGCTCAGCAGCAGGACAGGGGCTGCTCTGCCTCAGGCCGGCACAGGACGTGACAGATGCTCCAGCGTGCCCACCCAGGAAAGCTCCTCCCGTGGCCATAAAGCAGATTTTTAGGGGCACAGCTGCTGGCAGAGATGTTTCCCCCCGCCCTGAAGCCCAACAAGCCCCGAGGGCCGAGTGTGGCTTTGCTGGGGGCTGGTTCCAATCTGGGAGCTTGCCTCCTGCCGTGAGCCCACCCTGTCCTCGCTGTTTTCTCTCTCCCCGTGTTGGATGCTGACCCAGGCTCGTGTCGTGTGCTCTGGGGCTCGCGGGAGCAGACTGATTATTCCACTTTAAACTTTTGCTAACTGCAAAGCTCACTTTCGTCCGTCCCTGACCTTGGTGCACTGATTTCACCCACTCATTTTTGTACCTTGCAATGTTCCTCTCTCTGAAGCAGACCCTGAATGAGAAACGGTTCAGCAGCAAAAATCCAGATCTTAAAAGCTGCTGCAGGCAAAATCCCCATGCGTGTCGCAGCCTGAGTGCGTGACTCAGATTCGGATGTCAGCACAAAAACCACAAGCCAAGCCTCCGCGTGAAGTGGCACAAAGCATCCACCCTTCAGGGACCCTTCTCTTGTGCTGAGATCAGTGTTGTCCTGGCACTTCTGTGGGTAGGACCATGGGAAGGCCACGGAGCAGCTGTCTTGGCTTTCTCTAAGGTCTAGAGCAGAACTGTGCAAAGGCACCGACGTCCCCAGCAGGGACAGGCACTGTCCTGATGCAGGACACTGGAGAAAACAAGGACAGGATCTGACATCTCTCCTGCCCCACACTGGTCCAAGCCGTGACCACGAGGCTGGAGTCCTCCTGACAGCCTCTTCCAGGGTGCAATGCATCTTAGTCTTTGGTACTAATAATTTATTATGGAATTAAGTGTATTGCATAGGAAGCGTGCCAGTAATGCTTTGCCAGTATGTGTACAACACTTTGTTAATTAAAAGTATTAGGCAATATAGACTCCATTGTTGGGAATTAATCAGTTTAATTATGAAGAGTATTGAGTATCACAGTTAAAATAATAGCTTTTGCCATACACCAAGGTGAGAGCCTGGCATGGAATATGTTTTTGGTTTTTTCCCCTAAATAGTAAATCATTGCTCACGTCCTTCCCTAGAGCACTGTGTGGGCACCAAGCTGCTGACAAGGTGGAGCCCAGGGGTGGTGAAAGGGAAAAGGGTGCCCCAGATTTCCCATCTCCAGCCCACTCAAACCCTCTTTGCCGTGGCTTTTCAGAGGATGAACCCCGTGCTGCCTCTTTTCTGAGCCCCGCCTGGAGGCTCACAGGTTTCTGAGTGCTGCCTACTCCAGTAAAGCCAGTCCTGGAGGGAGCAGGGTCACAACAAAACCTTCACCTGTGGTGGGACATGGAGGGCTGCTGTCCCCCAGCCCTCTTCTCCCTATTTTGTCCATCCTTCTCCTAGCCCAGTAATCACAGCCATATACCTTTATATTGGGAATACTGGGATCTCTTTCACTCCGAGACGAAAAGATCAATTTGGCCTCTTCATTTAAAAAATGATTTATTCTCCTTTTATTTCCCTCTCATAAATCAACCCTGGCCAAGGCTCCAGGAGGGCAGGCTCTGAAAAGAATAAAATGCTGAAGCTTGGGGATGTAAATAAAAACTGCATCCCAAACAGTTTCCAGGCAGCCTCTGGAGCCACGGATTCATCTCAAAGAAAAATAACAGGATGGCATGGGCTCAGGGCAGCAACGAGCTCCCGAGCCGTGTTGCTTACTTGTGCAGGCTGCTTCAGAGCTGCTGGTATTAGGGTGGAGGTCTGGAAGCCCAGCTCGGGGCTGCTGGGGCTGTGGAAGTCCATTTCCCTTGTTTGTTTGGGGGATTACTCTTCTCTCTTGGGTAGGAGCGGAGCGCAGGGGGGGGACTGGAGGAGGTTTAATCCCCGAGACAAGAGGAAACCTTCCAAAAGGTTAATTGCTGGGCTTTGCATTTTGTCTGGTGCGGCTGCTCACGTTACAGCAGCGATGCCATCTGCTCGCACAGCCCGGTGGCCTGCATAATTCACCAGCTCCAGCGTGTTGGTGTTGGCAGGAGCGCTGCTGGGCTATTCATGAGGAAGTCACCTTTAGGCAGGGCTCAGGTAACCGGTCATCCGACACCCCCAGCCTGACTTCTGCCCTCTTGTCCTTTTGCCCTGCCTGTTCCTGCCCCCGGCTTGCAGGAGTCAATGGCTGCAGCGTGCTGGGTGGTCCGTCCCCAGTGTCCCCCTGCAGTGGCACGGGCTCTGTCCCCAGCCCTGCTCCAGCATCACCTCCTTGCTGCAGCGCCTCTCCAAGAGCAGGGTGGACACAGTTCCCTGCACCTGCAAAGCTGCAGGCCCCAATCCCATCCAAACACACCGCCTTTTTCCTCCCATCTTAAAAGCTCAACCCATTTAGAAATCCTCTCTTATTTCCTCAGTGCCCACGGACTTCAGGTCCTACTGGAGAAGCATTTTGGGGCTCCAGTACTCCCAGTACACCGCCGTGCCTATCTCACCGAGGTAACCAACGCATCTCGGCAGCACAACGAGAACGGGATTTTTTCCTCCCGCTCCGTGCCCAGACCTTATGTGGGGTGAGTCATTTCCACGAGGGTTCTTAACTTGATATTGAGTCCGTCTCCTCTGCCAGCGCAGCCTTCTCCTCATCTCCTCCGTGTAACCTGAGTTCTCGCCCCCAGTTTAATAGCTACCTCGCCATGAATATTTAACCGAGGATCCTAGCAGATGAGCTCCAGCTAACATGTGGCAAACAGATTTCCAGTACAATAGCCCTGCTAAAGTGATGATGCATAAAAGAAACCCTGGGAGGAAAGGAAGGGGTCATGGCTGGGGAGGGACGGGCACTTGGCATGCCGCAGCTCCAGCCGCCTGCCCCGCTCAGCCCCCAGCGGAAAGAAGGGGCACGGGGCCCTGGTGGAGCACGTGAGGAGACCTCAGTGAGAGGCAGGCAGAAGACAGCTCGGGCAGATAAACCCAGGCCCTGCTGGTTGGCCTCAAGCCTTACCCAGCTGAGTTTGGAGTGGTTTAATTGATATCCCTGCAAGCCGATGCAGCCTGCCCTGCTCGCCAGCCCCATGGCAGCAGGTGCCTGGCGAGGAGCTGGCCAGAAGGGCAACCCCACTGCTGCTGTCAGTAGCCCATCGGCTAGAGACCTCCTGGCCTGAAAGCCGCAGCTGGACACGTAATGCACGAATTTGCATGGTCTTTTGTTCAGCTCCCTCTTAGCAATAACTTACACGACATCCTCCAGCAGTGAGGGCCACAGTCCGTCACTGATCTGGGGGGAAAATGCAGCCTACAGCCTGATAGTTTTACTGCTTACCAGTTAATTCGTGTACAGAGGGGAACAGAAAATAATTATTTTTGCTCCTTTTCTTGGATACAGTCTTGATTATTTGTGGACGTTTACTGTATGCAATTTCCCGATACACTTTGCACAGGTAAATCTGTGGTTTGGGGGTTCATTAATCACAAAATTGAGGATTAACTTCAGATCTAATGAGAGATTAATTTGGCAATTTCCATTCACCAATGAGGTGAAAACCAACAGTGCTGTCAATAGCAAAAGGTCTTTGTGCTTTATTGAGCAGCCTGAATATTAACAATAATCTCTGCTGCTCTCTTCAGCCAAAAAAAAAAGATGCTCTGACCCCCACCCCCCAAGGACTCATTAATGATAAAGGGCCCAGATTACCAAATTAAATGGAATTACTTTGACCCAAGCAAGGGCAACAGGTTAATTTTTGCATAAACCATGGCCGTGTGCAGGCCTGAATTGCTCTCCAGGCCTGGGCCTGGGTGCGGGGCTCAGAGGACACCGGGAGGTGAAGGTCTCCGGGAGGCTGCGTGCTGCTGAAATATTGGTTATCTCACCGACTTTCCCTTGTGAGAAGGATGAGCAGGATTTACAAGGCAGGGCAGATTTGAACTGAAGCAGCCATTTGCACAGAATAATTTCCCTTTCAAGTCCTAAATTCAGACTTTATGGCTTCCCCTGCGCCTTTCCCTCGGCCACATGCTCTCCACCCTCTCCCACTTGCTGTTCGCAGGGCTTGGAGCTGGGGGCTGCCCTGCTGGGTCTGAGGACTGGTGGCCACACCAGCACTTCCAGCCTGGCAAATATAAATCAGGACACTTGTTCCAGCTTTTAATCCTGCTTTGAGCCTGTATTTCAGGAGGAAATACACCACCAAAGCAGGCAGTGAGAGTGGGGACTGTGCTAGGCCAGAATTTGGGGTTTTTGGGGCTGTGAGCAGAGACCCAGCCTCTCAGGATGAAAACCCAACAGCTCACAGGATGAGGGCTGGGCTGGCTCATAGCAAGCCATGGAACAAAGCCGGGGATAATGCCTCAGCTTCTGGGTCTGGCCAGGCTCCTTCTCCTCTTACACACCTACAGCAGGATTTAAACCAAGCCTGTTATGAGGGTGGTCAGGAAATCCTCCAGAAGAACGCATGAGGCTTTGAATAAGGATCCTCAGCAGCTCCAGAAGAAGGGTGGCAGGCCCCTTGGTGGCCAGCAAGGACAAAGCCCCTTTTCCTGTGAGGTCGCGGGGTGTGGGGGCTCCCCGGGGCTTCTCACATTGTGCTAAGCTCTGCAATTTATTGGCGTTAGTCAGGTTAATGTGTTGTTGCTTTGCATATTAATAATATCTTATTACATTTGTTCTTAAGAGTGGTATCATGTTGAGGCAACGACGATTAATGGCACCTCGGTAATATTTACATATTTACATTATTAAAAAGCAATACGTCTTTCAGACAGCCCCGTGCATGGGCTGGAATTGCAGATGCTGCTCCTCAGCCTGCCGCAGCCTCCCCCCGACCCTGTCCCGCTCCCAGCAGCCCAACCCAGTGCTCAGCGGGATCAGGCAGCACCCAGGGGGATGTGAGCACCCACCCGGCAGAGCCCAGGGCTCCTGACACCCCCTTTGGTGCAGCCCCTGCCCATATCCCTCCTGCCTGGCTCTACGCCGCGGTCCCAGGGCAGGCCTTGGCTCCCTGAAACATCTGAGCAAAGGGTGCCCAGAGCAGCCACCCGCTCCGAGGTGGGGTAATAGGGGAGATTTGGGGGATGGATGCTGTGGTGGGTCCCTTGGGTCCCTCCCTGGAGGCCAGATCCAGGAGTGAAAGTTTCTCCCACGTCGCGCCCCCAGGGAAAGGCTCCGCAACTCATCCGGAGGCTCCCAGTCACCTCCACCGTCCTAAACTTAATTAAAGTTGCCAGCGTCTAATTAAACCACTTAATTAAGTGCCACATTGTCAGGAGGTAAAGATGGAGCAGACTTAATTATTTAACGCAATGACACAGAAGAAAAAACCCACCTGAAATGTGTGACACCTCGAGGTGGGCTGAGCGGCTCTGGGGCAGGGTGTCCCGTGGGGCCGGCCCCTGGGTGGGGGATCCCATATATTCCCCCCTGGGTCATCGCTGCCTCTCTGCCTGCACTCTGGGCACAGGGTGACTGCAGACACGCTGCTGGTGTGTCCCCCCAGCACTGCCATGTGCCACCCTGTGGTGCCATCAGGCCGTGACCAGGCCCACCTGCAGCTATTTCAAATTTCTCCCTAACAGGGACATCTCCAATTTCCAATTTACTGCAGTGCCCTGCTGGGGACACCCCAGTGGGGTCAGTGCCGGCCCCTCATCATCCCACTGTCCTCCTGGATCACCCTTTTGGCTCCCAAACCCCGCAGCACAGGGGCTGCATCCTGGCCCCATAGGATCGATGCTGCCCCAGGCTCAGTCCCTGCGCTCGGTGGCACCAGGGTGACGCTGTCCCTGCCCCAGAGCAGCACCCGCAGCCCCAGCAGCTGCTTTGTCCTATTTCTGTCCTCCTTCCAGAACTTTCCTGGCTAAATGCCGGCGGGGTGATGTAACCCAGCGACTGGCATTCAGCGGGTGAGATTGATGGCAACGTCTCGTCGATAAATCCATACAGACCCCAAAGCCGTGATGAACGTGCAGGAGGTAAAGGCAATGGTTAATATCTTCAAAATAGGCCCCAGAGCCTTCAAGTGCAGGCAAAGAGGGAAGGACGGTGACCCTTGTTAATCTTTTTATTGGCTCCAGCAGCTATTGGCACCTTTCGCTGGCCAGAAATTTGCAAGTCTTTGGGGAGCAATGATTTCACAGGCGGGGGCTCTGAGAGAGAGGAAAGAAATCCCTCCGCTCCTAAAATGGGACCATTCTTCCAGATGAAAATTGACATTTTGGTTTGAACTTCACGACCCCCAGCAATCACACTAATGGCCCTGGCTGGCCGGGGGGCTGGCTGCGGCCAGGACGGACGGGCCGCGATGGATGGCTAGAAGGGCTGGGAAATGGGGTGGTAGAGGTGCTGACAGCCTGCTCCAGCTGCCCGAGGTGCTGTGGGGTCATTGCTGACCTGCTCTGTGGACTCTCATCCGAATCAGGTTTGACCTCGGTTCCTGGAAACCTTTGGGGAGGCAGCCGCTGGGAGAGCCTGGGGAGTGCTCTCGGCCATCCCGTGCCAAGCCCCTGCCTCCCCTCCTCGCTCACTTCTTTAAGCAAACACACATCTCGTGAACTCTTTCCTTGGAGGAAGGACAAATTGGTTTCTCCTTGGAGTAATCCCTAAAGACAAGAGGGAAGAAACCCAATACACCCTACAGGCTCCCTGAGCAGCCCCAGGCAGGTAGCGTTGACTTCCAGGTGTAACAAGAGGAATTAACACTGCCTGGTAGTGCATCCCTTTCCTGAAAGGCTTGGCAGATATTTTGGCTAGGTTATTTTCAGCCCCTCGGCGGATCAAGGGGGCGCAGACCCCAGCCAGGGCAGCTCCACTCCTCCAGTACAGCCGAGATTCCTGGCAAGGCCAAATCCTGGCATCAGGTAAAAAAAATCTGGGATGAAAATCACATTGGATGGCACACTGTTGTTACCCACCTGCATAGTGTAGCTGGGGTCAGGAAGCAGCTCTGAGTAAGGATGCAGGAGGGTCCTTCTATTTTCTAAATACCTCATTTAGTAGGTTAATATTCTATGTTATTTTAGGCCGCTTTCTTCATGCATCTGCCACCCAAGCCTGTGCAGATGTTTTAGGATTCTTTAATCCTGACAAAGGACTTAGCGTTAAGGAAAAATGGGTTACATAAAGATCCTTATCTCCTTAAGAAAAAAAAATAAAAAAAGCATGTTTGGGGCATATTGTGAACAAAACAAGACTAAAATAGAGGCAGAACATCCCAGGGCCACTTACCAGATGTGCAGGTTGGATGATCTGGGTCTCGCCTGCCCGGAGCGGGCACAGGGGGCAGGTCCTTGTGCAGGCACCGGGCTGTGGTGTGGTGTGGGTTGCTCAGAGAGAGCTGTTCTCCTCGCTGCTGAGAGCAGGGAAGGTGACCCCCAACCCGTCCTCCTGCCCCGGCCCCGAGCTGCCCGAGGTTCCTGCCCGGCGTACAGTATTTCATCCCGTAAAATTGACAAAGTTCTCGCATTTTCGTGACTCTCGTGATTGATCCAGCCCATGTAAATTACAAAAAGGAGTTGCAATCCTCTGGGGTCTGAGGCAGAATATCAAAAGAGCACGGGCTCATGCTGCTTTAATTAAAACTTAGTTTAATTAAAAACCTTGAGAGCTTTATTAGACTCAGTAATTGATTTAATTTGCTTGTGGAATTCCATTACAAAACACTTCCAAGCATGCTGGCTTTGGGATCCCGGCCCCAGGACCGTCCTCCTCCCTGATCGGTGCCTTTGCCCTCTCCAAGGGATGGGGGACACACGTGTGAGCTCCTTGGCCAGCAGAACCAAGCTGTTGGCTCTCAGGGGCAATTCCCACTCAGGGAGGGTCAGTGGATGCGCCAGAGAGAAGCCCTTCTGGCCAGGACACAGGGAATCAAACTGTAAAATAATAATAATATGTAAAAAAAAAAAAGCAGCACACAATGATTGTCTGATCTATATTTATTTCATAACATCCAGAATTAATAGGATACAGGAGTTAAAGCAACCATGGCAACTGAATGCAGAAAGGGCTGTCCTTGTAAATAAATGAATTCATAAATAACTCACAAGTGCTGATATAAAAAGTCATGGGAACCTAATGCAATGCTAATGCAATTCAAGCCTTCCCTTTTTTGCATGCAGTATTATAATCCGGGGTGCGCCATGCTTTGCTCTGTGCTACAAGTGTCATTCTTAAGATAATAGAACTTGCTAATTGTACCCGGAGCCAGGCTGTGATTGATGAGGGCTTTGGTTTTTTTCTCTTCTCCGTGTTCTCACCAGCAAAGTGCTGTTAAGTTACGGGCTGGTCTGCTGGCGACAAACGAGGGAAATTAGGGAGAGAGGAGTGAGATTTGCCCTGCTCTGCATCCTGAGCTGGGCTCCATGGGGTCCCCTCTTGGTCCTGCCAGGCCACTGGTGCAGGTGGTGGCATCAGGCAGTGGGGCTGCTGCCTACGTGGCTTTTGGGGTGTTTATTGGGGTCACTTGACTTGCCAGAGCTGACTCTCATACCTTGAAAAACGCAGGCACAAAGCTAAGAACTAGGCAAATGTGACCACTGAGTGGACTTTTGTGTTCCATTTTCAGAAGAAATGTTCTCAGCTCTTATTCCTCTGCTCCCTACAGTGATAAAATGATGTTTCTATTGCAGGAGGTGCAGTTTGTCATGGAGACCCACATTTCCCCAGTTTGGAGTTAATAAGGAGAGAGGCAGTGCTCTGATCTGACAGCAAAATCAGCTTTGACCATTGCAGCAGCTCTCCCCCATTTGGAAATCTGTTATTAAATATGGATATAATTGAAGATGGTTGTGTCTTATAAATCCTTTGTACCTTTTTCCTTGATCATTTTCATTGATAAGGATGCCACTGCTGTAATGATGCTGGAAAGTCATTTTCTCCTTTGCAGAACGTAGTCTGAACATAAGCAAGGTCAAGAAGACTCCTGACGTGTGCTGAGCACCAGAACTTTCTCTCAACCCCCAGCACAGCATTGCTCTGTGTTGGGGCTGAACTTTTTCTTGGACGCCGTGGGCAGGTGGTGATGCCTCCCCTGTGCACAGGGTCCTTCCCTCCTGCAATCCACTCCCATCTCACACCTTTGATGCTCCAGGATGGACGGGACGGGGTGGGACAGGGCACCCCCACCACCACGGGGCTGAGGACAGAGGTGAGCACCTGCTGTTGTTGATGATGATGTTTGTTTGCTTCTTTGTTTGCTTGATTGTTTGCTTGTTTCCCTTCCCCTGCTTCTGCCCTGTGGCTCCTCCACAAAGGCAGTGTGTCAGCCCCTCTGTGTCCCTCCCCAGTCCCTCTGTGCCCCCAGCCCCGCGGTGACAGGGCTGCTCTGTGCAGGCTGTGGTGCTGTGCTCAGGTTTGGAGCCATCCGGTCACCTGGTGATTTCAAAACAGTAATCAAAAGGGGGGGAAAAATAGAAAAAGAAACGAACTCTTGCAGTAATTTACCTTCGAACAGCACGGACACATTTTGTGCACCCTGATGGAAAGCACTGGAGGATTCCTGACGCAGTGAACCCCCTAGCGCTGGAAAAGCTGCCATCGCAGCTAATCCCGGCAAGTGGTGGGTTTGGGCACTGACTGATGCCCTGTAATGCTGCTTAAGAAATACAGGCAAACTCCGCTTTCCATTGATCTCAGAAAAATGAACGCTGTCTCTAAATTTGACGTTTAGCCGATGCACGGAGTAGATGGCTCCATTGATTCGCATCGGAGGGACGGAGGCGGGGGGAGCTTGGGGAAACACACCTTTGGCAAACAGAGGTTTGTCTCTCCTCTCTCCTGTCACTCTCCATCTTTCCCAAGTGCCTGCCCTTTTCCAGAGGGGAATGGAGAGCACAGGGCCGTCACGCTGGGCACTGCGCTGGCAACCAGAGCTGCCCGGCACAGGCACCAAAGCCTGGCCAGGGCTGTCCCGGTGGTGCGTTAGCTGCTGACCAACAGCCAAAGGGGTTTTGGCATTTTTAAGCTTGAATGCAGGTGGCGGGAGAGGGAAAACTGAGGCTTAAGCGTCTGGGGAGGGACTTAAAAAGAACTGGCTGGGTTTACGGTGAGAGTCTGCCTGGGCATCTTGGGGCCATAGGTGTTTTTCCCTCACCATCTGTATTTCTCCAGGAAATCATTGAGGAATGATGGAGTGGGAACTGCTCTGTGTCCTCTGACTGCAGAGCTCGGCCTGAGCCCTCTCCCCAGGGCTCCGGGGGGGTCATTAGCATGCAGCTGCTGGAGGTGCTGCCTATGGCCCTGCAAACTCCCTGCCCCAGAGCCCTTCTGATCTAAGTGCTGGTGTGGTGCTGGGCGCCCCCCTGGGGTGTCCGAATCCCTCTGAAAATAGAGCACCAGAGACCAGACCTGTCCCAGCTCTGCTGCTGACCCCGGGGGGCGGGCTGCTGATGTTAAAATGACCTCAGAGCAGATCGATCCCGGCTCAGACCTGATGGATCCATGCAAAGCGCTTAAGAGGACCCTCCTGCTACAACCATGATACGAACTGGGACACATTACTAATGAATCAAACACCGAGGAGCTGAGATTCCCGGAGACAATGCTTTCTTTGCCCCGAAATGCCACCCTCCTGCTTCTCGAGGAGATGCAGTGCTCTGAAAGTGCTTTGCGTGCCCCCCAAGCGTGTCCACCAGCCCCCTGCTTCCCGCGGGAGGTATGGGCTGGCTCTGGGACAATGCCACACGCTTCCCCTAGGCCTAGCTTAGCGCTGAACAGAAGGCAGCGCTGACACTTCTCTGCGAGAGTTTTCTGCATAATCGGCAGTTCTGACACCAGCCAGATCGGGGCTAGCCAGCATGATGCAGCAACAAGCGTTGGCAGGAGGCCTGTCCCTGGCAAAGTGGCCAATTCTATTTTCATTTGTTTTAGAGACAGTTTCTCTCCTGCCATATGTGTGCAGCTGGCTCCCGCCCCAGCCCCTGGAGGTCAGCAGGAATCTTTCCATGACTCCAGCGTCTCCAGAATAACCCCTGCCTGTTCCCCAGCCGTGAGGAGAGGGAGCCGGGCTGGGGAAGCTGCGTGTTTCACTACGTTGTCTGGGCTTTTAAGTGTCCCCACTGCAGAACAATGCACATTTTTTATGTGTATCAAATTTGGGGGAGTTCACTGGGATCCCACCCACACCAGCATGAGCTTTTCTCTTTCCATGCTGTTTCACGTGGCGGGGGAGCCCCCACGAGCTGCTTTGGGGGGCAGAGGGAAGGAGGCTGTCCCAAACCCCACCGAGCATCCCCCAGGCTTTCCTGCTTTTAGTGTCATGAAGGCTCGTGGCAGCAGTGGGCAGATTGCTTATTTTGCCAGAAAACATGCTGACGTGTCACGTATATTGAGCACATCAAACGTTACTGTCTCACCAGGCCTCACGTGAACCATGTATCATCTATTTCTTTAGAAACCACAGACAGATCTGGTTTTATATTTCACAAGTCACCTCTAAAATATGTATCTATAAAAGCGTTACAGGAGCTAGGACTCCTGCAGGGGACTGACAGCACACTGCAACCTCACCATCTGTGCTGGGCTTGTCGTTGGTACCTGGCACTGCTGTGCCCAGCCCTGCAGTGAGGAAGGAGAGGCGTGCTGGTGCATGGACTCCACTCCTTCCCTCTGCTCCCTCCATTTATGCAGCTGCTGGACCCCAAATAATCCCACAAGCTCCACAGCCCCGCTGCCCTGCCAGGGAGCCCAGGGCTCTGAGTGTCATGGGGGCTGCACACTGCAGAAGTGGGAATTAGTTTGGCTTTCTGCCACGTTTATTTTTATTTGATTAGTCTAATACACTGTGTTATTATTACTTACCACATGCAAATCTCTTCCAACTGATTAAAACTGACATTTAAACTAAGAGATCAGATCTGGAAAGAAGTAATAAGGAATATTTCACAATATTTCACAAGCTTTTGCAGTGTAGATTTGCAGGACGGATTGATTACATTTAATATTTAAGGTCCAGACTTGACCCTAAATCTCCTTTAAGGAAAAGGAAATAATTAATTCCTTGGTTTGTTATATTTCAGCTTTACAGACTGGTTCAGCAAAACCCAAGTGAATTTGCACAAGATGCCATTGGTTTTGGATGGTGTTTTTGGATGTGACAGGTTGCCAGCAGTGAATACTAGCTTGAAAATACCATGTTAACATGTTTATTATCTTTAAGACCTCTGAAATCATGGCTATCTATATGGCTTTATACTTACTGTGCCAGGAGGTGTTTCTGGGTCACTGAAGGAAGCTCGTTAGCTACCTTTCTGGATATACTTTTCAGCACACAGGTTTACAGATTTCTGCTGGTGGCCAAACAGTACTGGGTGTTATACATTTATAAATGTACACACAAAATCTGTTTCAAATAAAAGCTTTCAGAAATGTAAAGCTAGCCACTGTAGGGTATATTTTGCAGAAAGGGAAAAAAAAAAGAGAGAGAGAGAGAGAGAGAGAGGAAGGGTATTTCAATAATGAGTCAATTCCCACAGTAGCAATATGGGCATAGTTATTTTTTGTAAAACAGATGTAGAAAGGTTGCAGGCCAAATAAGGGTCTGATTTTCAGAGGTCCAGGTATTTTACACAGTTGAATACCTTACAGCCTCCTTCAAATGAACCTCTAAATGAGAACCTCTCCATAAAACCTTGCTTACGTTTGCAAAAATCAAATGTTTAGCTGTCCACAAGTAATAGTATTGAAAGCTTTTTCTAGACAGGGGTCAGAAAGTGCAGATCCATTCTAAGTGCAAAAGGATGGAGCTAAAGGACATCTCGATATTAGAGGATTGTTACTCCAGCTCCAGCCTAAATGACTTGACTGAGGCCAAAGTGTGAAGCGGTACCAGCAAGCAGGACTGTAAGTCACAGTCCCTCGCCTTGTGTTCAGAGCGAAAGATCACATTCACAAAATGAGCAAGAAATGTGGAGCGAATGTCTACATTGAACTGTTTCCCCTCTTAACTCATCTCAGATTGAAACGGGATTGACTCAGTGGACTAACATTAAAGCCATGCATCCAGACAAGATCTATCCGTGAAAGGTGTTTTAAGGTTTTTACTGAAAAGAAATCTCCCCCAAAAATGGGACTGAAAAGATGTTTCCATTATACAATGAGATAACTCTGCTGCTACTTTTTTTCCCTCAGCCTAGCAAGCATTTCTTGCATTCTTGTCTTAGCACACTACCTTAGTGGCTCTTCATGTGCAGCACCATAGTAATTTATCATTACCCAGTCTCCAAATTATTCTAGTGTTGATTAAATTAGTAAATGCAATCACAATCTGAAGCAAGTTAATTGAGAGAATTTATTTGGCCCTGACAGTTTTATGCATGTTTGATTAAGTATTATAAGGTTTGTTTTTGATTTTGCATAATTTAACTTTAAATCCTGCACTGGGGGGGGCCATCAACTATTAATGACTGAAATAAACTCTTTTAAGATGCATATATTTATGATTTATTTCTAAACGCAATATCTTCCAGATTTTTTTTGTTCTGTTGCCAAAGTGACAAATATGTTTAAAGTAATATTTTGAGCAATTCGGTTCATGCTATAAATCTCATGAAATGTATACAATTCATTAAAAGTTTTGAAAGAAGTACAAGTTAGCATTTATATTGCAACAAGTGACATATAAATGTGTATGTTTGTCTTCGAAGCGTGCCATAAAATATATCAGCGCTGGCTGGCCGCTGTGACTAGTACTAATGGCCCGCTCTCTGGGCTGATGATAAGTTTCATCACAAATCTTCAATGCTGTCAACACAAAACTGTTCAATCAACAGGAATATGAGTTGTGTCTTTAGTAAAATTAGCACAGGAAAGAAATACAACCGAGAGCCCCGCTGGAGTGCTGTGGGCGGGTTCTCTTCGGGCTGCACCACAAGCATTTGCTTAGGACCTCACCTCTTTGAATGTCAAAGCTTCAATTCATGCCTGACCCGGGGACTGTATATTTTTTAAGATGATACACATTTATTTAAGCAGCGAAGTGGTCAACGTATTTCAGGCTGAATGGTGCTGCCTTGCTTTTTGTCATCCCTGACCTAAGAAATGAAAAGGGATGGTCGCAGCACTGATGTTGCAGGTGTCACCCCCTTGTGCTTGTGTACGGGTTTTGGGTTGGGCAGTGGAGTTCTTTGGGTGTTTCTGGAGGCAATGGCAGACCTCACCTGCCTGGAGCAGTTCCTGTGGGAAGCCAGGAGCCCCCTCTGCAACGCTTGCATTCATTCTCCAAGCCAAAGCTGGAAAGATCAAAGTACTTTCATAATGCTGTTGCTTGGGCTGAAATTCCCATCCCTGACTCCCTGCTCTATGCAATGGCGGAGTGAAATAAATGAAACGTGGCTCTTGTGCTAATCTTAGTCACCGAACAGATGTTCCCATTTCATGCCATCGGGGAAAAATGCATCAGCTCCGCGCCTCCCCTTCTCCCTCCCACCAGAAGGTAGGTGGGAGAACAGAAATGGGCAATTTACGAGGAGCACACCACCGCTCCTCGCCTTGGCTGGGATTTTCCCTCGCTGCACATCCAGCACCTCGGGCCCCTCGTTGTGTTTGTGGAACAAAAAAGCTCCGCGGGGCAGAGGCTGCTGCGGGCGAGCAGGGAGTGCCCAGAGCAGGGCGCGCGCATCGGAGCCAGTTGGTGCGCTCAGAGGTATTTGGCCTGGTGCCTTCAGCTGCCTGTGCAGCGCGGCATGGCTCGCTGCTGGCAGATGGCTCGAGTTATTATTATTTAATGTTTTTCCACTGCGACAGTGCCTGGATGGCAAGTGGGGCAGGGGGCCAATTAAAAAAAAAAAAAAAAAAAAAAAAAAAAAAAAAGTTTTGTATTCTTTCCATTACAGAAAGTAATTCCTAATTAAATCTAAAGGGAAAGAGCAGGGAGGGTTTTTTGGTTTGGTTTGGTTTTGGTTTGATTTGTTTGTTTTTTGTTTTGTTTTTGTTTGTTTGTTTTTCCTCCTTTTTATTTTGCCTCTGATCTGTCCTCCTCCTGTGTGTGTTTTAGGAACTTTTGGTGTCTTTTTGGTGTCTTTTCGGCTCCCCAGCAGCCTGGATCGCTCACACCGCGCCTAACACACAGCCAGGCTTCTCCACAGCTCCCCGAACCACCCCGAGGGGCTCGGTGCCCCCCTCCCCGAGGCCTAGTCCCGCTCCCCGCCGCCTGAAGCCTTCCAGGCCCCGTTGCCATGGCAACGCGCCGCCCTTCCCGCTTCCGCCTTGCGGGCGCTGCGTGATGACGCCATCCCCGCGCGCCGCCGCGGCCGCTCCCTCCCCGTTGCCGTCTCCGCCGCCGCCGCCGCCGCGGGCCGGAACCGGAGCGCGGCCGCTCCCCGCACATGCGCAGTGCGGCGCCCGCCACTAGGCCCGGGCCTACCGTCAGCCCGGGCCCGGGACGCTCGGGCTCGGCGGCCGCCGCCCGGCGGGAGGCCATGGGCACGGCGGTGAGAGCGGGGCGGGGGCGAGGGGGGCGAGGGGAGGCCCCGGGGGGCGAGGGGAGGCTCCGGGGAGGCTCCGGGGGAGGCCGCGGCCCCTTCCTGAGGCGTTACCGGGGGGGTTTGGGGTGTGCGGGTGGGCCCCGGCCTCTCGCCTTGGTGAGGGAGGAGGGGGGGGGGGGGGGGATTCTTTGCAGCGTTGGCAGATGAAAAATTGTGATTCTGAGCCCGTTAACGCACAAAATGAGCGATCTGCGGCCTGATCTCGCCTTTTATCTCTTAGATAACTCGCGTGCAGGGCGTTGTGGGTCTGTGAGGCGCCTCAGCCGTTTCTTTCCTTCCTCCTAGGGGGCCAGGTGTCTCAGGGAAGCTGCCCCTTTGTGCTGGGGGAGTTAAGCGGCACCCAGGAACAAGCGGATTATCGACCTGCGGGGTGGATGGCAGCGCCCTTAGCGATGTAATACTTCAGGAAGTTTCCCCTTTGCACAGCTTCCCCCTGTTTGTGGCTGGCACGGTGTTGGCGTTTCAATTTATCTGAAGGCATCAAGCTCCCGGGGGCTGTTTGTTCATGTGGTGGGCACGGTGAATGTGAGCGAGTCGTTGCTGTTCGCACCAAATCAGTTCTGCAGCTGAGCTCTTGGGGCAGTTCTCTCAGATTCACCTATCAAAGGTTTTGTCAGAGAACCTAAACTCTTCTCAAACTCATCAGATGTGAGGCCAGCGTGCTGAGTTTGCCCCAAAAACTTAACTTATGCCCGTGGGGGTTGTGCTGTGCTGCTCAGGTGTGCTCTCACCGAGTGCTTCTCACTGATTTCTCCGTGGCTGCTCAGGGAATCAGGATAAGGAGCTGAGCCAGAGTTTGCTGGGAATGATAAGCTGTTTTCATGTCCTGCTGAAGGAGGCTGTAAGAAGAGGCGGCATTATCAGAAATGCAGTGCTCCAAGTCCACAGAATATGAATTTTTAACTTGTCTTGTTAATTTGTTCCTCCAAAAGCACCTCAGAAGGCAAACACTGAGCAGCTGATGCAGAGCACGTGGAAGGCACGCTCCGCTGCACGCTCCAGGCACAAAACTGTTGTCCTTAAGCAGTGTTGGGTTAGCATCTGACCACCTTATATGCCTTGCAAAATACATCCTTGTAACATATGTGTGAGCTACCGAGCATTTCCTCTTTACCGGCAGGAAATTATGGCAAGGAGGCACTTAAATTACACCGGTGGTTTTGGTAGTTGAGAACAGACCTCAATTATCACAATTCCTTAATCATAAGCTAACTCATTCTCCTTTTTATTAGCTTGATTCATGTAGAGCCAACAGATTCCTTTCCTCTGTTAGAGAAATGTTAGGTAATTAAAGCTGGGACCTCGCAGCAGTGCTCAGAGCTGTTATTGCCACACGTGTACAATTTGAGGCAGGGAGCAGTGAAAAGATTTACTCAGTGGCACACTGCCGCAGAGAAGGTTTTTGATATCAGACTAGAGTTGCCTTTAGCCTTATCATTTACTCTGTGATTAGTTTAGGTAGTAACAACAAAAAAAGTCCTGAATTAACTTTTAAATTACTATTATTTTAACAGTGATAGGATCTCTTGTTCAAGTGTCTGAGTGCCTGGGTGTGCGAGGAGGCAGGGGAAGTCCCTGTTGTTCTGCAGCGTTATCTGAGGAGTGCATTGTCATTTCATAATTCCCGGAATCTGGCACATCATAAGCCTGGGGTGAAGCAGAGAGCAGCTCGCAGGCTGCTGCTCATCCCTCGGATAACAACAGCGGGCGTGTGGAAGGAAGTTAAGGTTGTAAATTCTAAACACTCCAGAAGGTCAAGATATTTCATTTGTCTCTGGAGGGCACAGAAGGAGAAACAAACTCCTGGGTATCTTTGAGATGCTGCCTTGTCGTGGGGCGCAATGACAGGGGGACTGCGAGGCTCGTCTGAGCAGGGGAGGCACATCCTGTAGAGTGTGAAAAACACGATTGCCTCATGGCTCTTGCGAGAGCTTCCATTGCTTTCAGTTTGTTTATTTGGTGAAGCTTTGCCGGGATCTGCAGTGGGCAGAAATCTAGAATCACCGCCGTGTCCGGGCTGTAGAGCTCACTTGTAAAAGCACCTGGAGAACTTCAGAAACTAAACACGAGAAAACTGATCCCATGCAAACACACATTAATATTACTTTTTGCATTGGTGGGCTGGTGCAGGACTTCTGTTTGATTAAGAAGGGCCCTAATGAGCTGGGGTAGTTCTGGAACAAAGCTCCCTTCTTTCCTCCTTTAACACCGTAAGGCTTGTAACAGGTTAAAGCTGGTGTTGCTGCTGCTTGGGTGCTTTGGGGGATCTACCTGGGTGATGGCAAACAGAATTGTGCTGCTGCATGGCTGCCTGGTGAGCCGTAAGTTGTTAGCAAAGCTGTTGTAAGCGAAGAAGTGGAGTTGTGCAAAGCATTTGTACGTAACCGAGCTGCAGAGCGTCTGTCCTGCCTGCGTGTCCTCCTGCTGGGGCTACTGAAACGTATTTTCCTTCTCTGCCTTCCTGCAGGTCCCTTCCTTCCTGGAAACTCAGCGAAGAGTTAGCGTTCCCAGGCTGTTGGAGCTCTTCCACGTTAAGGGATGATATTTGCTATGTGCCCTGTAAGTCCTGCCCTGGGACTCGGTGAGCGGTGGGGTGCCCGATGCCTGTGATCCCCATTCCCCGCCGGGTCCGCTCGTTCCACGGCCCCCACACCACCTGCCTGCACTCGGCCTGCGGTCCGGTGAGGACCACTCACTTGGTGCGCACCAAGTACAACAACTTCGACATCTATCTCAAATCCCGATGGATGTACGGATTCATTCGTTTCCTGCTGTACTTCAGCTGCAGCCTCTTTACCTCCATCCTCTGGGTGGCACTCTCTATCTTGTTTTGCCTTCAGTACCTCGGCATCCGGATCTTTCTGCGTTTCCAGTACAAACTCTCCATCATCCTCCTCTTACTGGGGCGAAGGCGGGTAGACTTCAGCCTCATGAATGAACTGCTCATCTACGGAATTCATGTGACCATGCTGCTAGTGGGGGGGCTGGGATGGTGTTTCATGGTATTTGTGGATATGTAAATAAACCAAGCGCATGTGGGCCAAGAAGGTGACTGTTCTTCTACCCCCAAATGTGTCAATTATCCTCTTTTCTTTTTTTTTTTTTATATAAATTAATTTATTTATCAGTGCTACTTTTTATTGATAAATTAATGTACTTGTCTCTGGAATTTGTATATATTTTTTTTGAGGGTTAAGGTGCCATTCTGATCATCAAGGTGCAACACTTGATTGGGTGTTTTTTCTTTGCGTAGTGCAAGTTAATACACGTTTCTTCTTGCCCATAGGCGCCTGCCTTTGCTGCTGTTCCTGTAAAAAAGCAGTGTTTTTTCTGGAGGGAAAGAAGCCAGATAACTTTGCACCCCACGCTCTGAATTGGTCTTCACCCTTTTTAAAAAAAAAAACGTTCCTCCATGTCTCAGGCATGTAACGTGTACCCTGTTTGACCCGTGCTGTCCTTTCTCTGTGTAGTTTGCTTTTTGCATATTCCCAACTAAGAATACAGGGCCAAATTAAACACTGTTTTTTGGTTTGTTTTTTAAGATTCATGCAAGATTTGCATTCAGCACCGTATTGTCTTGTTCACTTTGCTGTGATTTGAATGGTTTTGTCCTTTTCAGGCTGTTAGTGCTGAGTAACTGGAGTCTTCCCCCGACAGAGCAAATCCAGTGGAGCGAGGGGGGCAGAGTTCAGTGTCAGTGCTCTTGAAATTCCCATCATAGCAAAGGCGTTATCATCTTGCAGTGATTATGGGAACCCTTCGCAGTGGTTCCTAGCATTTAGATCTTGGTGGTTGGTTCTGTGTTCCCCCGGGCTGGTTAGCTGCAGGTTCCTCACAGAGATGCTTCTGTCTTACAGAGCACAGCGAGGTGAGGCTGGCTGACCCTTGAAAGCATTGTACGGTCTGCAATGGCAGTGGTGGTCCTCCAAACTTACAGAAAACACCCCTGCCTTTGTGGCAGCGCGCCTGGAGAGCTTTGCTAGCAGCTGAGGAAGAGAATTAAGCATTAAGCTTGGTTTTAATGGTCTCGGTCTAAGATCTCAGACTGTTCCTCTGCAGTCAGTTAGGTAACTATTTATGGAGACCAGAACCTGTTCCAAAGTTTATTTTGATTCTGTTTTTTTATGGTTTGGTTTTGTTTCTTGTAATGGAACATTACTCTTTCTTTTAAGAACTGCTAAAAGCAAGCTGGTAAAAATGAGACCTCTTTTTTTTTTTTTCCCCTGAAATCATTGGAGTCAATCACAGTAGAATAAGCAAGACTGGAGGTACGTGGCCATCCCCTTATGATCTTTGCGATGGGAATGTGGTTGAGAACAAAGTCAGCGTGCGCCCAGGGGAGGACACTCGATATTTCAGCCTGTGAGTGTTTTCAGTGCGTGCGGTGGAGCCTTTTGCTGACATCCTTTGATTTGTAGGCTTACAGATGCAAAATAGGGAAGCTTGTGTCTGAAGCCCTAAGCTAAAGCAAAACCAGAAATTATCTCATTATCAAGCATTACAGATAATGCAGTCTGAGCACACAGAGCTGAATAAATAATGGGCAGCGCTGGCATGAACTTCGGATTAGCCCCGTGAGATCCAGAGGCTGTTTCTGCAGGAAGGACGTAGCCCGGCGCGTGCCGCGAGCTGTCTGGAAGTTTCCTCCTCGCTGTGGAGCTCCCCGGAGCTCCGTGCTGGGACCACGCTGGGGACAGCGGGACCTCGTGTCCTGCAGGTCCCAGCTGCAGCCTGCTCTGTGGGCTGAGGCGATTCCCACAGTTCCCAGTAATTCCCAGCCTGGTGCTTTCCTCCTCCCCAGTACCCCTGTCAGCCCGGGGCACCGTGCAGGCTGTGGGCATCCTGCGGTGGCTGCGCGAGGGAATTCCTGCAGGGAATTGCAGCCAGAGAGCAAACAGCCCCAGGACACGCTGAGAGGGCAGCCAGGAGCCCAGCAGCAGCTCTCCTTTGCCCTCTGCTCCAAGCAGCACGGGCACCAGTTGAAGGTAGGACCAATTTCACCTCGGAGCAGCTGTTTGTCAGCACTGCCTATAACGCAGGGTGAAAGGGTGACTTGTGGTGCCTGGGGGAGCTGCTCTGCTCCACACCTGCACCTGCCCCAGCTGCTGGGTGCTCCCGCAGCAGCGACAGCCCAAACAAGATCAGTTTTATTGTGTGGGCTTTCTGTCAGCCCTCTGCATCCCCATTTGATAGCGTTTACCTGAGGAAGAGGTACAAATCCCCACCAAATCACAAAAAAAGGAGCGTTTGCCAAATCTTCAACTGTTCCTCGAGAGAGAGAGAGCTCGGGGAGAGGTTGCTTAGAAGACAGTGGGAAGCGATTGCCCATTCTGTTACAAACACAGCCAAACTGCTGTCAGAAGGCCCTGAATCGGGAGTGCAGCTGCACACAAAGACAGACAACCTGAAGATTAAATAATTGAGGAGACCTTGGAGGCAAGGTGAGGTTCAAAATGCTCTCATTCTTGGTCGTTAACCAGCACTTGAACACCTTGCAGCGCTCAGGCAGTTTGATACGACCAGCCTACGGGGGGAAAGGAGCTCCCTTTGAAGGCACGCTGGCAAGGAAAAGGAGTTAATTTTCAAATGATTTGTTTTATGATGTAATAATTTGAACATTTTAGATCTACATGAGTAGAGCAGCATTTGGCACCTTCACGGCACTTCTCTTCAGAGCGTTTTCCAGCTAGAGCTAATTAAACCTCACAACATCCCCAGGAGACTGTGGAATAAGTAAGATCTTGGTAATGATTCAGAATTTAAATTCAGTGTTTTTGAGATTTTTTTTTTCAAGGCTTTTAGGATTGCTTTGCCAAAACATTTTTTCTCAAGGAGTTGAGATTCTACAAGTTCCTTACAAGCTTAAGGGGAGCCAAGCCACAACAGGGTGGGAGGAAAAGGCAGAATAAATGTTAATTATGTGCAAAGAACAAGCTGTTTATTTTCCCCATAATATTTTCATTGAGAAACCTGGCATTTTTAATAAAGAGGGGGAAAAACATTTGCTATAACACAGCAAATAAGGAAACGGACGGGAGCTGGACTTTCTGCTTTTCAAGGCAGACAAATGGCTCGTAGTGCTCCTTGCCAGAAATGCCTAATGCAAAGCAGGTACTGGCAGCTCTGGGGAAGTTTGTGCTCTTTGGGATTGTTTTTTTTTAATCTTTCCAAAGTCATTGATGCTGGACGGGGTAGATCAGGCTTTGAAGTATGTTGTCATCCCTGTCTGGCTGTTTAAATGGCTGTAACTTTAAAATCTTTTGGAATTTATATTTTAACATTCCTTCACGCTGATGCCGTCCCGAACAAGAGCAGCTAGCTTGTTCCCTCTCATGTTATTTTGTTTGTTTGTTTGCTTTCTTGCTGCCATGTTTGGGCTTTAAATATTGCTATTGTGCTTACCGGGCTACAAATGGCCTTGAGGGCACATAGGAAAAACACTACAAATGCTGATTTGGGGCAGCCTGTCCCTCCCGGCCCCGTGCCAGCCCTGCCCTGCCTCTTGGGAGGGTTTCCCCAGTGCCTCCTGCCCACCAGAGCTGAGTGTGGTGTGGGTGTAAGGGCAGGGAGGTGCTGGTGCGTGCGGTGGCAAAGCTGCCTCGGCCTCTTGCCTAGCCTGGGAATGCACAAACGAGACCCAAGTGTTGGAGCTTCACCTCGTTAACGCTGCAGAACACGAGAACAGTTGGTGTTTTGGGTGCCTGTTAAATTCTGTACGGAACATGCCACCTACATTAAAGTTATTTTTTTTTTTTATAACATGTTGATGGGTCGATTGCTTATGGAGAAAAAGGAACAGCTCTGTGGTGCTGGTATCGTTCTGATGCGGGGAGAGCCTACATCCTCTTCCCCTCTGCGCTGGTGCAAATACAGCAGGAGCAGAGGAGGGGAGAATCAGGCCCTCTGTGGTTATGGCTCAGAAAGATAACAGAGTTGGGGAAAACGCTGCTTTTGCCTCCTGGAAAGGTCATTCAGTGATGTGCTGATGGCTGGGTACAGCCTGGATTTCTAGCTCCTAGGCTTTGCCCATCAGGGGCGTTGGAGTGATTTGAAGGACTGCCACTTCTGATCGACATCATAATTCCTGTTGCTCTTATGTGGAAGGTGCTACAGTGATGTGCAGCAGCGTGAAATCCATAAACCAGACAGGATTTGCTCCCCAGTGACTGGCAAGGCACAGAGAGAGCCATTGCAGATGGTGTTGGGGCTCAGCTCCTGGAGAGGAATTTGTGTGGATAGAGCAGCCACGGCTTTGCATGGAAGAGATGCTCCAAACCGAGCAGCTGAAGAATCACAGCGGAGGACTCGAAAGAAAGGGGAAGAAGGCTTGCAACACGGGGTGACTTGGGCAAGGATGGATGCCTTCTCCTTTTTAGGATTGCAGGAGGAACAGTAAGCGGCGCTCAGAAATGTGCCTGGTGGCAGATGGCAACGTTGGTTGAGTGCTGTGGAGCATCGTGCTCAACGACAGCAAAAGGCTCAGGGAAGTACTGTAAAAGAATGCAATTTCTGCTATTAATGTTATATTTAAATACACGAGCCTTTGCCGTCTCCTCGGGGAGGCCTCGTTTGCTCAGTCCCTACGGTGAGCACCTACCCGGGCACCTCACTAAAAGCTCCTTGTAATTCTTCCCAGGGCTCTCCGAAGCCTGTGATATTTTTTTTTCCCCTCTGTGGGGCAGGAGGCAGCATTTATTCCCGGTCACAGAAAGCAGTGGGCACGTTTACTTTCAGGAACGGCTCTGGCTGTTCTGGAGGCTCTAGCACACACACAGATAGCGTGCTGTTCCAGGGAAGACGTCGCTGGAAAATATGAAGCCCTGTTATCTTCCCATGATTTGATTTAGCCAAACAAGGTTTCCATAGCTCCTGGACAGCTCTGCTGCCGGGGAAAAAAAAAAAATCTCATTTCTTCACCTGCCAACTCTCTGCACTAATTTTGTCTTCCCGCTTCAAAGCAGTCATCGTGCCCAGAAAATGTCACTTCAAAGTGAAGTTTTGTCCAGTGATGAGTCAGGGAGGATTGCTCAGCGTTCAGAGCTTGTGCAGCTCTCCAGACTGCGCTGGGGTGAGGCAGAGCCGCGCTGTCAGGGCCCTCTCCGAGCTCCCTGCTCGAGTGGCTTGAGATCGGAGGCTGGGCTCCGGCTGCTTTACCAGCTTCTCAGCACGGATAAAAGGAGCTTGCCCACGTCTCCAGCTTCTTTTTCGAGCACTGAATTCATCTGGGAGGGAAACCGAGCACCAAACTTGTCCTGGGGCTGCGCAAACGCTGCGCTGGCCCCAGCTGAGGTCTCCCAGAGCCTCTTTCCCCGCTGCCCTCCAGCCCACAGTCTGGGGCCGCAGAGTGTGGTCGGTCAGAAGTGTGGGATGTTGGCCCAGGCTGGGAAGTGTGCGAAAGGGAGCAGCTCCCGGAGCTCCCCCCCAGCGCCCGGCCGCGTGACGGAGCCTCCAAGGGCCACATCCTGACCTCGGGCACAGGGCTGGAGTAGATCAGAGCTAACACACACAAAAGCCAACTTTC